GGGGGGGGGGCGTCGTATGGAGGGAGTGAGAGATTGCCGAACGTAAACAAGAGAAATCCCGCCCGTGGGTGGGGAAACGCTAGACCCTGTTGGCCGCGTACACTCTTCTATATGTGACTTGGATGGCGTGTTTTCCCGTGCATGTTCGAGAGATGCCCGCGGCCAAGTTCGGAAGAGCGTCCAGATAGGGAGTGCCTGTTGTCGTGATGGCTTAGTAACCCCCTCTCTCAATGGTTCTTCTCTCAAGACTCAACGTTCGCGTTCAATACTTGGTGCTTGGGGCGGGAAATTGGTGCCCGGGTGAAGCTAGGGTTTGTGGGCCAGCGGATGTGGTACTGCTGTTTTCAGTTTCACACCTAGCTGGGTATCCCACCAGCGGGCGTCGGTGTGTCGAGCGCACCGTGTCCTGCACCATCGTGTACTCGCAGGGACGTCGCGTTGTGTATTGTTCTGTTTCGCGCCTCTGTTGCCGCAGACCCTCGCCCTAGCTTGACCCGTTTTGCGCGGTGGTCATCGTCGAGTTGTCGCGCGTTTTGCTGCCCCTTTCCGACCCAACCCCTACCCGCCCTGCCGCGAAATCCGCAGCCCACACTGCCAACGGTTACAGCCCACGTGGGAAGAGCTGGCGACAGAACTCAAGGGAAAGGTACGTCGCGATTCGGGCGGACCGTACAACGGGGATCCCGCGCCATCGTAACATTCCTCATCTGGGTGCCGGCGTGAATAGTATACAACACAGAATGCATGATAGAAGCGACAGTGTGAGGGAAGGCAGCGTCGTCGAACAGAGACGCTGGCAACGTACTTGTTTGCCTACATTGGATCCGTCCGACCTCTCCGCGATGAGACACAAGCACGGGTCATACATTTCGCGTCATGTTTTTTCGGCGCCAACTGCTGTACCCGGAGATCCGTAAGCATGAGCGCGCCCATACGGACGCGGCCAGGAGTGATGGCCTGTAGCTTCCTACGATGCATATATTTTTTACTGTTGTTGTAGTGATGTGGGTTCTCAGAGTATTTCTTCACCCATGTAGCATGAACGCGTGACGTCGTCGCCTTGGTGGTGTGCAGTATTGTGTGTTGCACGATGTTGCTTGCGGCTGGTTATTGCCGTTTGGTCCGCGCTTTCCTCTTTGGTGCTTCTCGCACGTCATCACTGACGTCGCTGCTCGTTGACCTTGCCGCCGTTCTCCTCCTCCAAGGTAAACGTGGGCCAAGTCAATTGCGACAGAGACTACTCGCTATGCCGACGGTTTCACGTGACAGGGTACCCGACCCTGGTGCACGTGCACAACCGAAGGAGTCGCGTTTACAAGGTGAGAGGAAACGACTACAATTGAATAGTGCAAGGCACGCCAAACCGCCATGACGACCCCTAGCTGAAGAGGAGCAGAGCGGGGGCACGTCGCTCCGTTGGTGGGATCAACCACCCACCCCCCCCCCCCCCCCC